AACTGTGGTCCACAACCAGGGCATGTGCGGGCCCATATTGAGAGTGAGTTTTCAAACATTTTCATTTAGGACTGAAAATTTGAAGGATAGAACTATTTGACTATGAGTTCACATATGCCATCTCAACTGCCTTTTCTTCTGATTTTCTAAGGTGGTGGATTCAACATTTCACCTCTGAAACCTCGAAATGGGAAGCCAAGAACTCAAGTGCAGCATCTCATGCAGATTGATCTGAAAGGATGGGGCGTGGGCTACTTGTCCTCATTTCAGCAACATTGTCTCTTGCAAATGTTAAATAGTGTTGCCGGTAGGTTGTTCTTCTAGCTCTTGCTCGCACTAGTAAGTTATAAAACTGCATTGTTACAACCGTGATGTTTAGTTTCTGCAGCTGGCGTGTGTTCAATTATTCGTCTCTTCTATCTTAAGATTTTCAATACGAAGGAAAAAAATTGACAATAAAGAAATGAGATATGTGCTAAGATTTGGTGATGATATTGGAGTTAAATAAAAGAGAAGTTACTTCTCTTTTACTTTATGGTTGGAACTGGGGGATGATGATTGAGAACCAAAATTGTAGGAATTTAATTCTGATATTTTATTTGATTAAGGTTCATAAATTAGATGGTAGAAGATTCTTGGTAATGAATTTTTTTTTTCCTGGCTATTATCTGGTGCATTTGGGAATAAAGAAACAATAGAACTGTAAAGATAAGACTGATGTATTTATACCTGGCAGAAAGTACATCTTCTATCTTTGTAGCTATTTGGTGATAATTCGTTCTTTTGTGTTTTAGATGATGGCTTCCACTTGCCGTCTGTAATGGTTGATAGGGGTTCTATTGCTTATTGAGCTTTATCTCTCTCTTTTTACTCTAAGACTAATATATTGCGGTGGAGATTGACCATTCCAAATTCCATCATGTTCCTAAAGCTTTACGGTATTATCAAAGCAGATTTAGGTGGAATGGGATTGGCGCTAATGGGTGCTATATTACTTCTTTATGGAAATCATGCAGTCTTCTTTTTCTTCTTTTTTTCACTTGGATAGGGCTGCGCGAATGGTTTGCACAAACAGACGAAAGAAATGCTCCTCCGAGAATACCAGTTATGGTAAATATGGCTTCAACTTCAGTTACCACACAGAAGAGCCTGAAAATGCAGGGGTCCAGTGTCCATGCTAGCTCTTCTATCGACCAAATGACTGCTGCAAATAGAAATTCTGTGATGTTGGATGAATATTCTGAAGAAGATGAAGAATTTCAAATACCTGACTGTGAACAAGAGGTACAAGTTGCAGAAGCTTTTACTATTTAATTTTTTAAATAATGAATTATTCTTATAATGATTTTTTATTTATTTTTTATTTTTTATATTTCCCCCTTGTAATAACTGTTTAATGTTTAGGTGTCCCCAAATGAGCAGGAGAATGATGTCAAGAAAGCAGGTAAGTTTTTTGAACATCAGTTTTCTTGCGTTATTGAGGACAAATACTTGCATAGTAGTGCTGATTTAATTTAAATTTTGATGAATATAAGCCTTGGAAGAAGAATCAACAGATCGAATTGATTTCTCCAGTTTCTCGGGAAGTGTAAGGCATGATGATCGCGATGGTTCTCGAGACTGCTGGAGAATTTCTGATGGGAACAACTTCAGAGTTCGTAGCAAGACCTTTTGTTTCGATAAGACTAAGGTTCTTTAAACTTTTTCTGTTGCCTTACTCTAGGATATTCTTCTGGATCTGTTTCCATTTCCTAAAGGTCGATCTTGTTCAGAGAACACTCATGTTCGTGCTTAATGTCGTTTTTGAAGGTTCCAGCTGGGAAGCATTTAATGGATCTGGTTACTGTTGATTGGCTGAAAGACACAAAAAGAATGGACCACGTTGCCAGGCGGCAAGGCTGTGCAGCTCAAGTAAGTTCTTTATAGCTCCAATACTTCATTTTTTCTTTTCTTTTCTTTCCCCCGGCAAAAAAGAAGGCTGGTACTTTTTGGATTACAAATTTACTCACGGAGAGATAGAACTTCTGTCCTATCTATAGGATCAAATTCAAACCAAGTCACACACTCATATTCCTGAAATACAGAAAAAAAAGAAATTTCGCGATCGTACTACCAAAAAAGAGTGGGCTTATAAGCGGAAACCTACCTACTTTAGACTTTACTTTTTATTGAAAAGTTATTTAGAGATTCTTGTGAATTGAATCTAATTGCTTGAAAGAATTATAAATCTCCAAAATAATAGATAGGAATATCGCAAATAGACCCATCGCAACACCCATCAAAAAAAAAAAAAAAAAAGAGGATATTTTGGAAATTATTGCCCATGATAAGCAAAACTAAAAATATTTTTGATTATCAATTGTCCTTTAATTAAATATAAAAAAAAAGGTTCATGTAATTACAGAAGTCCTTACACACCGATATTCGAAGAGACAGAGAACCTAGCAAGGGACGAAACCTCCTCCTAGGACCTCTCAATCCTCTAAAAACCCTATTGTTCCTCTCACCCCATAAGCTTCATAAATTAGCACAAAGCTAGCAAGCGAGAGTGCACGTTCAACAGAAACTCCTCTAACATGGAGCTACAATCTCTAGGCCAGACCCAACTAAGATCGAAGGACTGGAAAAAACAGCTCAAAAACTAAAGATTACACACCTCTATTTAGACTGAAGGTAAGGAATCCAATGACACCAACCAGATCAATACCCAAACTTCAAACCAGACTACAAGATGGAAGAAGGCTGCCAAAAATATCTATAACCCAACTCTTGAAACCGGCTTGTATAACCTGTAATTGAGAAGTTGAGAGGTCAAGTCTTGTGAGTTTGTTTATTCGAAGCTACAACTTTGTCAATCTCACTAGCTACACGGAGGCTAGCATGACTTCCAAAGTTATGGTCACGGGAGGTTAGGTCATAGGCACCTCCTGATCAGGTGCCGAGCCTTGCGGCAACTCAAAAAATTAAACAAGAGAGGGCAACTCAAAAAATTAAACAAGAGAGCAAATATTACTCAATTTCTATCTTTAAGTTATATACACACCATTTATTGGGTTAAACTTTTCATACTTTTTTCGTTTCTTTAGGTCGCTTCAGAAAAAGGTCTTTTCTCTATCGTCATAAATGTGCAAGTAAGTTCTATCTTCATTTGAATTCAAAGAGGAAACATTCAGTAGTATGATGAGTTTTTTGATGGTCAAGATAAGACAATGCTGTTTGTTTAGGTACCGGGTTCGACGCACTACAGTATGGTATTTTATTTTGTGACGAAGGAACTAACTCCTGGATCGCTTTTGCAACGTTTTGTTGATGGCGATGATGAATTCCGCAACAGTAGGTTAAAACTCATTCCATCAGTGCCCAAGGTATATATATATCTTCATCATGGAATGCGCAGGTCAAAATTTCAAATTTTCATGGAACCTAGCAGCAGATTTTTCTGAACAAAAAACTAAGTTTTTTTAGATTTTAGGAATTTCCAAACCATTTTTATTATATGATCAAACACCGTTAAAATGTTGAAAAATAATCATCCTCTCAAACTATATATATATTTTTTTTATTAATCAATTCTTCTCCTTGGCGTCTCCCAATGATACTTTCTTTTCTCTTTTCTATTATTCATCCATCAATAATTTATAGCTGGCGTTTTAAATTTTTTCCCCTTGTATTTGAATGTTTTCAAAGATATTATAAGACTCCATTTTTTATTTTATTTTATTTTGTTAACTAAAAATATGAAGGAAAAAAAATACAGGGTTCATGGATTGTTCGGCAAAGTGTTGGGAGCACTCCATGCTTATTGGGAAAAGCAGTTGATTGCAACTATATTCGAGGCCCCAAGTATTTAGAAGTATGAAACCATTAATAATATACTTCGTCAGTAGAGATGCTATTTTTTCGATCACATAAATAATATTCTGATAACCCCTTGGTTGGTTCTTGCGCAGGTGGATGTTGATATTGGCTCTTCGACAGTTGCTAATGGAGTTTTGGGACTTGTCATTGGTGTGATTACAACATTGGTGGTTGACATGGCTTTCCTCATACAGGTTTGTTTTCAAAACTTTGCAAACGTTCATTCAGTGCCCCTTACCTTTGCACCATCGGAGTTATGTTTGATACTAAAGTAACCGTACGGCCCAATCAACGGTTATTTGTTTTTAAAAAATTTAACCCAACATGATCACGTGTTTGATAACAAAAATTTGGCTTTTTTTTTTTTTAATTTTTTTTTATGATTATAAGATTAAATATTCAACTATAATTTTCAAATTGTTATATTGGCGATATACGTAAAATATTATTGAATTTATTTATTAAAAATTCTTTGATAGGAATATTTAAATATATATATATATATATATATATATATATATATATGAAAAAAATGTGGTGAAATTCTTTTTGAAGAACTTGATCCCCACAAATTTCTAGAAAATTTCTGTTGCTAACAATTTTAATAGATGGGTAAGTTTATTGAATATTTTAGAAACAAATTTTATTGAGAAAATTTAGAAATGAAATGAAATGAATGAGAGAGATTAGAGAAAAGTTGGTGTTAGACAAAAAGGGAAACATGTTTTTAGAAACTTGAAAGTATTTTAAAATTTACGTACAATGCTAAAAATGTTTTTACCAAAATTAAAATAATTAATGAAGAAAAGAAAAAAGGGTAGATATGATTTTTGAAAGCAGATTTTTAATTTGAAATTTTGGTCAAAAAATGTAGGGAAATACAACAGAAGAATTACCAGAGCGATTACTTGGAGCAGTGCGAATGTCACATATTCAGCTCTCCTCTGCCAAACCCGCTAACTTGGATTCTTATCCATCTGATTGATTCATTTTCAACGAATTGCTTCTGCTTCTGCTTCTACACACGAACATCATTTCTCCTTTTTTTTTTTTTTTTTTTTTTTTTTTTTTTTTTTTTTTTTT